AAAAGGCCTCTAAATAACTCGGGGGTGACAGAAGAAATCAAAGGAGAAATAAATTGCGTGGATTTTGAAGAAAATGAAGAGATGAGCTATCAGGTCCTATGAGATGAAACAAAAGCAGTTTTAAGATGGAAATTCAGGGACCTCCCTGGTGGCACAAGGGGTTAAGCACAGCACTGTGAAGCTAACCGCAGCCTCTGTAGCATGAGTTCAATCCAATAAGGGAGCTAACGCACACAGCACAGCAGACCTGTCCTGTCTCACTCGCTGCTCCCCTCAGCAGCGTATTTCAGTAGATTCTTCTGTTCTGCTCCCCACTCTAGTCTCTGGTGAATCCTCCCAACCCCTGTACCTCTGGCCTACACCTCAGTTCTTCTACGCATAAATTAAAATAAATCTTAAAAAAAAAAAAAAACCTCACAACCCTGCAACAAAAAACTAGTCCAATCAAAAAATGGGCAAGACCTAAATAAACACTTCTCTAAAGAAGACACACAAATGGCCCACAGGTTTATCATTTATTACAGGGATATGCAAATCAATGCACAAGGAGATAGCACCTGACCCCTGTGAAAATACCCATATTGAAAAGACCAGAAGTAGCAAGTGTTGGAGTATGTTTGGAGAAAGGAAACCTTGTACACTATTGGTTGGAGTTTAGATTGGTCCAGCTCCTATGGAAAATAGTAGAGCGATTTTCCAAAATACTAAAAATGGGTCTACCATGACAGTTATGCCAAGTCTAGGTATGTACCCGATGAATGCAAAAACACTTATTTGAAGAGATGTATGGACCTCTATGTTCACTGCAGCACTATCTGTAATAGCGACGACATGAAATCAACCAAGATACCCATGGACAGATGACTAGATAAAGAAACTGTGGTATGGCACTCAATGGAATACTACTCGGCTATTAAAAAGAGATGAAATAGGGGACTCTGGGGACAATATGAATGACCGTGGTGATAGGGCTAAATGAAATGTCAGAAAGTGAAAATCAATGACCATCTGGTTTCTCTCCTTTATGGAATATAAATAACCAAAGACAATAAACTGGAAAAAAACCTCAAAAAACAAAACTCTTAAACCCCGTGAAAACTATAGCAGTATACGGGCCTCCCCTGGTGGTGCAAACGGTTGAGCACAGCGCTGTGAAGCTGTCTGCAGCCTCTGCCGCACCAGTTCGATCTGGGCCAGCCGGCAAGGGTCCCACATGGCATGGCAGACCTCTCCTGTCGCACCCGCCGCTCCCCGCAGCAGTGTATTTCCTCAGTCTGCCTGTTCTGTTCCCTGCTCTGTCTCTGGTGAATCCTCTCACCCTCCTGTACATCTGGACTGTACCCCGGTTGTTTTATAAATAAATAAATAAATAAACAAACAAACAAACAAATAAATAAATAAATCTTTTAAAAAAAGAAAAGAAAAATATAGCAGTACAGCAGGGAGCAGAGGGGAAGGAGAACAATAAGGTGATAGTGTAATGAGGACAGGTGAAGGTTGGCCATATGTCGAGGTTGAAGTTGTACTCCCAAACTTATATTTTTGTAGTTGAATGGCAAATAAATAAAATTATTTTATTGATTAAATTAAATTGATTAAATTAAAATGATCTAAGTCCCTTTCCTCACCTTCAAAAAAAAAAAAAAAACACAAACAATTGGAAAAAAGATACCATAGTGAATGCTCTAAACTCCTTGGTTAATTGCAAGGCAAATTGGGGTTGGCCATGGAATAATCAAATAAAGAACAGTCTGGGTGGCCAGCTGCACTCCCCACCCCCTGATCCCCACCGGGTCCCTGCCCTGCCCTTCCCAACTATTCCTAGTGAACACTCAGCAGCTACTTAAGGGACCTGCTGATCAATGGCACTGGCACAACCTGCATGCACCAGGCATCCCCCAGCTGCCACAAAAGGCTCTCACTCTCAGGGACAGAAACTGGCATGGGCACCCACTCTGCAGCCACTGCATGGTGAAGGCTTAACCAGGGCCGGGGTGGGATGGCCTCTCATTCAGCTCACCCCGCAAATCCTGACCTGAAGTCTCAGGGGCCCTGATCTCATGAATTCTCATGAGCCATGTTCTGTAGGTTGCACCCCTTTTGTCTCATCAGTGAAAGCTTCCCTTGGGCCTTGGAGGCCTGGGCCAGAGCAGAACTAAGCTGGAGCACAGCATTCACTTTAGCAGGGTTGTCCCCAAAGTGGCAGCTGCTGTTCTCATGATGTTGACCAATAAAGCTGTATTTGAAGCTAGAGAGTGGTTCCCAAGTGAGGGTGGGTAGCACTGCCCCATGAAGGTAAATGAAAATGTGTGGGGGTGTTTGGATTATCCAATGACTGGGACCACTGCTGGCATTTAGTAGGTGGGGGTGCCAGGGATGCCATTCTCCAGCGTCCTACACAAGTAATAACTGCCCTGCCTGAAAAGCCATGTTGTTTTCCACAGACACCCGTGATGAGAAACCATTGTTTTTCTTCAAGTAAAACAATAAACAGACCAAACTACCTTCCTCCACTCTTTTCCTACCCAAAGTCTCTCCCCATTTAATATATTTGAATATTATAAGTATCTGAGTGGCCAAGGCCAGTGCCCTGGAAATGGCCCCCACAGGGGTTGGCCTGCCAGGCAGGGGCTTCCTTACCTGGGCATTTCAGTGTGGATGGAGCAGCAATCATCCAGGAGCATGTCAAAGCCATGCAGACTTGCTAGCAAAGAGATGAGACACAGTTAGAGGCAAGGCAAGGTGGTCAGATGCGCCAGTGTTCCCTCTAAGGGAGATGAGGGTGTCTGCAAGTTTTCCCAGAAAGTTCCATTTGCTGCTCTCCCCAGATGGCTGAGAAAACATAATATAGGGACATGCTGTGTCACTCACTTAGAAGATAAAATGCCCCAAATTCAAATGATGGAGCAGCTAAAAGGCAGGATAACAGGGAGTGATGGTAACCACTGACACATGGGATATGCAAATCAATGAGACCAGTGTCCTGTTATTAAACAACTCAGCACATCAGGACAGAAGCTGATGGGGTAGGGGAAGGGAGTCCAGGGGATGGCAGATTGTCAAAGTTCGTAGGGAGAACACTAGGCAATATTTTAATTTATTAAGCATTATATAATTATTACATTACATATATATGTCAAGTGCCTCATTAAATATCGATGCACTTAATCACCAACGGTATTAGATATTGTTCTCTTGGCCCAAATCACACAACTAATAAGAAACAGAACAACTGGGTCCAGATTCCATCCTCTGAACAATCATACCACATTGCTTTTTGATGCCGTGTACAAGAAAAGCTTTTAAATTTTGTGTATTAGTCTTAGAAATGATTTTTGAAAGAATTTTCCCTAAGAGCTAACACGCAGGAATAATCTATATACAAGCATGTTCATGCAGAGTTTTAAAGGTTGAAAAGTAGGAAACTCCCTACATGGCCAGCAATGTGGGGAGGATGATTGGTAGGTCATGCAATATTACAGTCGTTTGTGGAGAGCCCTCCCACCACACTGCTTCTCAAAGATGCACTGAAACACACAGGTGAAACAAAAGTAAGCAGTAGGGGTCTCCCTAGTGGTGCAGGGGTTAAAGCTATTGGCAGCCACTGACTGCAGCATGAGTTCAATTCCCCACCAGGGAGCTGACCCACATGGCACAGCAGACCCCTCCTGTCTCACCCCCTGCAACCGTCAGCAGTGTATTTCAGTAGCTCTGCCTGTTCTGCTCCCCACTGTCTCTGGTGAATCCTCTCACCCACTCCCACACCTCTGGCTTGCACCCCAGTTCTTTGCAAAAATAAATAAAATCTTAAAAAAAAAAAAAAAAAGCATAGCTCTGGAAGGCGCAGCTGCCCCCTGAGAAACAGACCTGCTTAAGGGGTTTCATCCAAACCTTGCTGGTCTCAGGGCTCTGCTGCCGAGCCTGTGTCCTTCACAGCACTCAGGAACTTGGAGCTGTCCACCCTAGTTCACCAAAAGAGCTCCAGTGTTTTCAGAGGAAGGATGGCACCCAGAATTGGCCTCGGGCTAAACCATGGAGGGCAGCAGGGGCTGTTGCATTCTCCAGAGGGCAGAGCCCACAAATAACACTCTAGGAGGGCCAGTGAGCCACAGGAATTTGAATAGGTGTGAAAGACTGATCTCCTGATTTGGACTTTGAAAATTGCTATCCTAGCTCAACCCAAAGTTAAGTTCCTTAGAGAACGGGACACATTCCTTAAAAGATTATCTACAACATACACACCACCTCTGTGAGAGGGTGTGGGCACGAGGTCCTGCCCAACAGGAGACCATCAAGAAGGGAAGCAGGTAAATGGCGCCCTATGTGGCCTCCCAGGTTGGCTAGCAGGATGAGCACTGGCCCCACCCTTCCCCTCGCAGCTGAGTCCTGACCATGGTGGATTCAAGAAAGGGGCCAGTGTTTGCTCTCCAGGACTCCAAGGGCCTGATGTACAGGTGTCTTATCCTTAGCAGTCTCCACAAAATTAAACCTCTGCCTTGTTTGAGTTGGCGGTGGGATGTGTGTAGAATGATGCCCCCTCACTCACTCTTATCCCGGGGAAGGTGTCACTGACTGAACTGCTCCCTCCAAATCCTTAAGTTGAAGCCCCAACTCCCAATATCTCAGAGAACGTGTTAGAGAAATGGCCTTAAACTGAGACCGCATTAGGATGGATGTTAATCTAATCTGACTGGGGTCATAAGAAAAAGAGATGCAGACAGAGCGACACAAAGGGTGATGGTGAAGAGAGAAAAGGCCACTCGAGGGCACCGGGAGCCAAGGCGAGAGGCACCAGAAGAAACCGAGCTTGCTGACACCTTGGTCTTGGATTTCGAGTCCCCAGATTTGAGAGAAAACAACTTCCTATTGCTTGAGCCCCCAGTCCGTAGCATTTCCTTATAGCAGCAGCCCAGGCACTAACACAGAGGGGGACATCCACTTGTGTCTTAACCACTGCCCACCATGATCCCGCAAGTGAATGCAACAAACCAAAAGGCTGTTTGGTTAATACTTTTAATTACATGATAAACATACAATTTTCACTCGTCAGTATTTTATAGAAAACCAGTTACAATACACAGATTTTCAAATGTAACAGTATGTATCAAACTACATAGATATGCCAAGTTTACAGGCCATTATGGAAGCTTTATCTTAAAAATACCTTCAGGAAAATAAACGTTCATTCAACCAGTTCTCTCGGATTTATAAAATATGATTAGAAATATACATTTTAATTAAAAAAATCAAGACAACAATAGATCAAATACTGGTTAATCAGTTACATTTTAAAACATAATAATCTGTACATGAGTGCAGGTTAAATCTGCAAATTACTAATATAAAACTGCAGTACTATAATCAGATGAACAAGTCTGCTGACAGTTAATTCTACTGGGCAATTAAGGAGGTAATTTCCTACACAGTACAGGTGAGTTGTCCAGTCTTTCAAACACATCTGTAGTATTTCCATTTGGCAACATGGAGAATACTCGGGCCTGGGAGACATGTAAGAGCAGCAACTGGCCTTGGTTGGGGCAGCTTCAGTGGGAAACATATACTAAAGAATTAAGTTTCTAGAGTTGTTTTTGGTGAGTAGTGCTTTCCAAAATACAATAATTACCTTTTTTTTTTTTAATAATTACTTTTTAAACTGTATGATGAGAAGCAGCAAGGCTACTTTTGGAACATTAAAGGAGCACACTGTTCACTGGTCATGACCAGTGATTCGAGCAAAGGCGAGCCCCTGAGCCCCGCACAGCTGCCTGGCCTAGCAAGCCTGCCAGTCCCTGTGGTGCACCACGGGGCATCAGAGACCAAGGGCAAATGCATTTACCTCTTGAAACACTGAAAAATGCCTCTAAAATGTGTCTGGGCCTGAGAAAAGAGGTAGAAATAACCCTCTTAGGTGGAGGCAGGGAAGGAAGTGGGTGGGTACAAGCTAAGGGGATCAAGTTCAGGACAGAAAAATTTTGGAGACCAGAGGAGCAGCATGTCACTAGGAAGCAGCTTCGGGCAAGTAAGGCTACTTGCTTCAGTGAGGCACTGCTCAGGACCAGTTCCTGTCCACCTGCAGTGAGAGATTTCTACTTTTTCTCCAGCATTACAAAACAGAAGTCTGTCTCTACTTCTAGGGACCCACTTCCTTCCAACTATCCCTGACTCTTGATAATCTGAGTCCCCCCAGAGCTTCAAGTGTACAATCAATATTCATTTTGAATTTTAACTCCCACGGAAGCTGTCTTGGTATACCTTCAAAGCTATTTAGCCTCTGTAGTTAGCGGAATCTTTCTTTCTATCTGACATGCTGTTTCCTAATACATAGCAAAGACTCAAAGTTAAGATTGTCAGAAGATTCTTGGCATATTGACACATACAACTGGGGGCCCGGGAAACCCACTCTTACAGCAGCAAGAATGTTCCATCAGTCAAGGCCAGGGACTACCTTACTACCTAGATTCTAGATATAAGTAAAGCACTGTGCTAGGGATACATTTGAAGTGTTATCCCAAGTCCTTCGTGAGTTTCCAAGGAATGTTTCTTTATAATTCATCAGTTTCCTATGACTGATTTCAGTGAGCCTGTTAAATACAAGGATTTTTAGAAAGAGCCACAGTGATAGCAATTCTAGCTGGAAACGTGAGCAGCCAACACAAAAAGGCATTTGTAAAATAAAATGTAGTGGTTAACAGTGAAGCCCAAATTTTTCACTCTTGGCCAAGAAATTAAATGGCTTGTTCACTGGGAGGGAGGCAGCACATGTTATTCCTTCTGACCTAATAAAAAGTCAAATCAAAAAAGTTCAGATGGAAGTTTGATTTTCACAATTACCTGGATTATTAACACAGGAGATGGCCTTAAAAGTGTAACAGGAAGAAGAGTTGCCCTGAGAATTCAATGTTTTATGCCTGGGCACAGTTTGAATATTTCGTATTGTCTCCCAGCACACAGTAATTGGAATGTTTCTCCTCACCCAAAGCATACGGAAGCGCACTCTTCACTCAGCCAGTGGGTCTTTACGTCTATTCGCCTCCAGGAATAGAAAACCACTGTTTTTTCTGATATCCAGTCCCCACTGCTTAACAGCTACTCTGACCCAACCTCCGTGGTGGTGCCTGGTGGGGAAGAGCTATTTGTTTGGCATCTCCCATCTCCCCTCAAAGCCAGTCAACCTCACAATCTACCCCAAGAGAGTCAATTCCAAAATGGAGTCATGGCCTTCCAATTACTTTTTGGACTAACAACTTTAATCTATCCCAACCACTTCTTATGCTTCATAGTTTTACTAAAAAGGCAGTTTTTCTTCTTTTTTTTTTTTAATGGAATTGCCTACCGTCTTGTAATGTGAAGGCATTTGCTTTTCTCGTGTTGCCTTTCACATATTATATCCCCACATTCTCCAAACTAGGATAGGCAGAAATACACTTCTTACTATGGAAGTAATCAAGGGGACTGCAAAATATTCTTTTATTTTGGGCCCCATTTTTTTTTTTTCTTAGCAGCAAATAAATTTTTTTTGCAATTGCTTTATATCAGTCTCTGCTACGGTTCTGTAGGGTTGAGGGGAGAAGGCACTCTGCAAAGGTTATTAGTTGTATTCCCTAACCAAAGGCAACAGTGAGTTTCTTATTTACAAACAACTGAAATCCAGATGTGAATAACTGGCATTGAAAACAAAGAGTACCTGTGAATGACCTCAGGCAGATCACATGACGAAAAAAAAAAAAAAATCTCAATGTCACAGGCTACCAAAGCCATAACTTTAAAAACAAAAGCTACCATTATTAGGATATCACTCCTTTTAAGGGAAAATACCCACAGTGTGATTTTTTTCAATGCAAGGAAAGTAATAGGATTTTAATCTGTATGACCAGGCAACCAAATTGTGGGCAGTTTGGGCATTCACAAAAGGAGACATTTACAACAATCTTCCATCTCTGAAGCCAGTTTCTCTTCCTGAGTCTTCTACAGCTACCATTCCTGGTCTCCTGCAAGTTAGGTTACCAAAGGATCACTTTGTATCACAACATGCAACAGCCTTTAAATAGGGTTCTCACAGATTCTTGTTAATAAAGCACTCTTTGGTGGAAGACAAGTAGCTTGGGTACTGAACAGAGCTAACATACAACAATAGTACAATATTAAAGTAAAGATGATTAAACCAAATCATATCGAATTACAGAAAGTACCATTTCAGCAACACCTGTTTTAGCTTTATAAATTTTGACACAGGGTGAACAGAAAATAAATACATAAAAAACCTCCATCAGAGCCTCAATTCTTCTGAAGGTGAGCAGCTAAAATGATTGCCATCATGGGGACACAATCACATGACACAAACTTGTCACCTCTCTTGGTATCAGAGGGCTTCAATATTTACACCTGAGACTAAATTTACAACAGCTTTTTAGTTGCGACACTTGAGACATTTCTATGAAAGGAGCTGGGCCTTCTTCAAGCCATTTGCTTGGGCCCAAACTCATGCAGTTACTGAAACTTCAGTAGACACTGTCTTCATTGAACAAACTTCTTAGGTGGAAAGCAACTAAGGCTTTTGCATTTTTGTTTTGTTTCCAAATAAGTGTGCTAATAAGTCCTCTTGTAGTTTTCTGTTCCTAGAGTCTTCCTTCAGATCTGGTCACAGATTTTAACTTAACGCAAGACTGTTTTAGTCCTTGAAATGGCGGGACTACAGGAGGGAAAAAAAAAAGGAATTTACCATGAAGGTTTTCAAGTGTCCCATATGCAGTTTTATCAAAGACAAGGAAGGCAACATAATAAAAAATACTGACATGCTAAAAAGTATACACTTTGTATAATGATTTAATGACAAACATTTTGGAAAAGAAAGTACAATATCAACCATAAAGTAAAGACAAACAGGAGAGGAAGGCAGAGCAGAAAAAGGTTCAGTTCTGCAAAAAATGAAAAAATAGTAAAAAACCAAAAGTTTAAAAGGGGAGGGCAAAAGCAGTGGAGCAATGAGAGAGTACCATAATGCCATTAAGGGCATTTGCTGCAAAGCATTCCTTTTCCTTCCTTCCCTCTGAGGAACCAGGCTGTGGGAAAAGCGGAAAGAATGAAAAGATAAAGAAGCGTTACTTGATTATTCTGAAAGCCAGAATTTAGTCACAGAAAAAGCTCTGGCACCTCAAGCAGTTTCCAGATTGGCAGAGGACAGAAGGCGGCCAGACTCGCCCAGCAGACAGACCTTGTTCCCAGGCCTGATGCGGACAGGACCTCCCAAGCAAAGACACCGGTGGGCCCTTTTCTGCTCCTAAATAGATGGCCCAAATTGATCCTCACTCTCCCTCCTCCTTCCTTCCCCGTGTCCCAAATGTATTACGTTATACTTTCAACTAAATAGCAATTTTCAGGAAAAAAAAGGAAAGAGTCAGAAAAAGCAATTCCGATCTGAGGCGCCCCTCACTTGGATGATGAGACCCTATTGGAGCAGTCATCAAAATTGATCACTTAGTTTACGGAGACCCCCATAGAATAATGGGTATAAAGGTCCAGGTCAGTTGGTGGAGCCAAACAGGAAAATACCTGGAATTTCAAAGGGACATTAATAATTTAAAAGGTCACAGGTATCTAGCATTTTTTAAAAATAGTTATTTTCAAATTCCAGGGTTTTTGGAGAAAATGGCGTACAAAAAAGTGGAAGTCCAGAAGTGATAGAATAGACACTGAGACCTGAGACGGGGAGAAGGAACAGTGATAGGTAAGATGATGGCAAAAGTCATGGATGAGAGGACTGGCTGAGTCTGGGGAGTCCTCAATACACCACTCCTCCCAGCCAAAGGGCTCATGAGGAGACACGTGGTTTCAGAGGCCAAGAGCCTGAGCGCTCATCTCTACCCCACCCCCCACAATATAAACACTCAGCTCAAAGTTAATGGAAATAAGGTTGGTTTGAAAGGAACAGAAAGTGATGGGTCCCAATGATGCAACTTGGAAGAAAAAAAGGCATTCGTATACAACAGTTTTCTTAGAAAATGGATGAAGTTATAATTTCCAAAAAAGCATAAGCTTCCGGAAACATGCTCTCAAATGGGTTGAGACTGTGAAAGACATGAACTGACTAGAATAATGTCAAATGAGGTGCCTGCAGGAATCAATCTATTTAGCCAATTCTTCATGGCATTTACTCTTAAAAGGGACACATTAAAATGGACACATTAAAATTTTATACAAATGTGTTTACAGCACTAACAGGAATGGGAAGCAGAGAAGCCCATCAATTTACTTCTTCAGACCTGAGAAAGGGGACAGAGAACTCCGGCTCTGAGGGTCAGTGTGCCTCATTGCCATCAGACAAGCCCTGCCCCCTGGCCTGCACAGAGCTTGTCACCTGGGATTTAGGTTGAATGTGGCTTATGTTCAGAGGACACATGTGGGAATAACCACCCACTGCAAGAAAAAGCTGGTGGCATTTCTTCCCAAATGGGAATACTTATGAAAAGCACATATATTTTGTCACCAAATACTTGTTCTTTTAATGTGTTTGTGAAAGTTCTCCAGAGTTTGTAAAACCTCTCAGTCAACTGTCAAAAACCAAAAGAGCTAAATCAGTGGAAAGTGAGGGTAGATGGGTCCTCAGCCTGGAAGCCTCTAAGGATAGAACAGAATATTTCCATATGAAAGGCCAAGTTCCAATGGCATCAGATGATGACAATGGTGATCATGATGATGATGAATGAATATCAACCTGCAAGAGAAGGCCTCACAAGTGGGAGCAAGTGCAGTCTGGTTATCCTGGCCCTCAAAGTATCTGTGCGAGTACACTCAAAGGGCGTATTAGGGTTTTTTTTAATTGCTGTTCAAAGAAAATATTTCTGTTCAATACTTAAAAAATTTTCAACCATCTTAGCTGATGTTTAAACAAATGTGTAATTTCCTCATTATCCTCCAACCCAAAATGAACACTACTCAGTAGGACAAAAACTCAGGCCACTGCTTAGCTGCCTCAATTCCCATAACTTCCCAGAAGCAACTAGTGGGAACTGGACAGAAAGCATTTGCCTTCCTGTTTTGAGTCGCAGGTGGCTCATGTTAAGGTGACATGAACACAGGCCAAAGCCCTGAAAAAGGCAGAGACCCTGCATGGAGGGAAATGGTTAAATCCTCTGGAAGACCCAGTTATCCACACACTCTTTAACTTCTTTGTCTAAACTCTGATTGGCCATGCTAAAATTTGAAAGAACATTGGTTTTCAGACTTTTGCACTATTCAAAATGCCTGGAAGCTGCTTGGGCCATTTAACATTAAGCCCAGCTTAGTCAGTGTGGACGCCTACTTCAGACCCTTCAAAGCATCCAGTCCAGTGACCTCAGGCATTTGCTTACTGCCATCAGGTGTCAAGTCTGCTGAGAAGCACAAGTTTAGATGGATGGATAAGACCTAGATGAAAAAACACTCCACCGCCAATCCCCCTTTAGAGGAACATGGTGAATGGGCACTGGTGGTCCCAGCTCCTGGACTCTATTCTCTATAACCTGAAGAGCACAATCCAGAAAAGCAGAAAACAAAATTAAATGTGCAAGACACACTCGACTGTAATAGAAGCCTGAGCAATTGTACTGAAAAGGAATACATTCCACTCAAAACATGTCTAAAGTTACTAATCCCAACTGCCCTACCTCAATTGGAAGAAATGTTAATATCATGACACATTTCCCCTTTGTCTGATATATATATAGAAATTTATACACATAAATATTTACACAGCTATACATTTCTATACAAATAAAGTGTACTGTACATTTACAAAATTAGAGCACTACTTCATAACTTTTAGGTTGTAACACTTTTCACTTACTGCCTCATGAGCATTTATCTAGGTCATGACGTTTTCTTTAAAAACATGACTCAGATACATTTGGCATAATTCACAATCTTTATTTCTATCTTTATCTCTATCTCAACTGTTACAACTAACATTCTGATACAATGATATAATGCACCCAAATCACTGACCTTTTTGTCTTTTCAAATGGAATTAGAGAGTAAAAAGATTATAAATACTTGATACTTCTATAATGAAAAATTTAAATCTTAAAATCATGAGTGAGAACTCAAATCTCAAATACTTATACTGGGGCACTATCCTATTCTCATGTAAGTAAATTGTACAAAAGAACCAGCAAAAAGAAACAATGCAGAATTAAATAATGTCTTTATAAGCAAAACATAGAGAGCTTTCTGGTTGGTGCCTGGAAACAGGCTGCTATGCAACTATCCCCAGACTAACTCAGCACTGAAGATAATCATGGGCCCGAAGCCTCAAAGACAGGCAGGGAGAAAAGTTAAAAAGAAGCAAGGAAAACTGTGAAGGGCATTTTAAAGTCGGGGTCTGGGTTATTTTCAGGCCACCTGTGGACTATTCTAAGAGACATACTGTGCCCTGAGCACAGCACCTCTGGCTCAGGACCACACAGGTCGCCAAGACCACCAAAGATGCCCAAACACAGGAAGGATGCCTGCTTTCCACCCCTGGAGGTACAGGAAGTGACTTAAAGGGATTTGCTTTTGGAATACGATAAAAATGAAACATCTACCTTCAGCTCATGATAAACATCCAGAGATACGTGTAAAGATTGTATTTGGTCATAGAACATGCCCATTTTCTTGTGAAAGAGTGTAATTAATGAAGGAAGTAAAAGATGCTGGACTCTCAGTGAAAGAACAGCCCCCTTGGGTGTGGACTGTGACCAGAGGACAGTTCCTCAGGTAAAGAAGAAGGCCCAACTCACTAGCGTTCTCGCTTTCCACTATCATACTTATTTGTGGCTAATTCTTCAAAAATTATGCAGTATGTGGGAAGAGAAAAAGAGTTTCTCTTTGGAAAAAATTAAGAACTTATAATACAACATTCTCACATTTCCAGGGTTGAACACTACCTCTGAAAAATAAAATAGAATAAAACCCTACATTAAAATCATCCAGATTTTCTTAGATAAAGAAGTCAAACACATTTGATTTATTTCCCATCACGGGACTCTGTTTTCTCCTATTTTCATTTCTATCTCCAGAAGATAAAACTGGAAAACAATGCTTGAAACTTTTCAAAGAATAGGATTCTTTTCTCACCTTTTAAAACTGCTTTTTCTTGAAGCAGACCTGGTGGTTCTTTTAGTAATGCCTGTACTGCCAGAAATGTTAGGTTCAGATGTTTTACAGCTCTGAACACTGGACTGAAGAATTACTCTGAAAACAGTTGGAAAAAAATAAGATTATATTCACTGAAGCAGTTTTCAAGTACTTCACAAAGGAAGGCATTTTGCACTTTTGTGCAAATTATCTTACTGAGAACTCATAGGATTTTCCATCAATACATTTGCCAGAAACATCTGAAACACAATTTTACATCGAAGTCTTTTGAAAGGAAGCAACTCATTTCCCTACACGGGTTTACACAAAGATAACCACAGTGCTTCGCTTTTGAAAAATGAGTGAACTTGACATTTTAAATAATTTCTACATCAAAGAATTCAATCAGCAAAATAAATCTTTGTGATGCCCCTCAAAGTAAAAGAAGAATCTTAGAATTCTACTAATGAAAACAAAAGTGTTTAAAAATCCCTAATTCTAAAGAATACAGGTATAAACATCTCTTCAGAGCTGAAAGTATGGACAATTAACACCAAATCAATATGAATTTCATTTATCATTCCAAATTACAAAAAATATATTGAAGCAAAATTTGAGTTTTGTTCAAATTATGAACAAATTACTAAATCTCCAAGTAGCATGAACATGAAAGTGAAATTTCATGGAACTTGCTTTAATTAAATTCTAAACATCTCAAGGATCTGATGCCTATGGGAGTAGACTGCCCAGGAGGCAAATTCATGAATCAGAAAGACACCCTCAGATAAAGCCCACACAGAATTCCTTGTTCATAAGTAAAGGGTGTTTTTAATTCTCTTTGAATTGTCACAGAGAAAACATCAAAAGGTTTTCTATGTATTTCTTTTCTTCAAGGGATAATGACTACAATACCAAACTGCACACAAGCACATTCATATATACATACTCTGCTTTTATTTGTCTGTAAGAGAAAGATACTGTTTTAAAAATAAATTGTCTTCTCATAGCCAAACCCAATGGTGAGAGAACCACCAACTTATGAGAACCCAGCTACTAAAAGTAAAAAGAAACCATTACAACTAATCAGTTGTCAGTCCTACTTCCTCTGTCTGTGTTACTATGTCAACTAAAATACCAGGCCCTCAGCATGTATATAGATTAGTAAAACCCTATAATCCCACATTACCCAATCCATAGCATATTCCATATTTAGCAAAATGCTAATATGTCACTAAATCCCAATGGGTTGATTGTACCAGATCTAAATCTGGAGCTACCAGAGGCCAACTGTTTTTTCAAGCTGTTAGGGAAAAGAGGGGAAGAGAGAAGGGGACCACTACCCCCACTGTTATGATTTCTGAAAATCTCAGGAAACCACCTTCAATTTCAGAGATAAAATGATGCTGGGTAAATGAGCCTATGCTTGATTCAGGAATTCTCAGGAAGTATTATTCTAAATGTTGACCACTCTAATATAGGAGAAAAATCTATGCAGACATCGTTGCCTAGTCAAAGGCAGCACTAATTGCTCTGGCATGTGAATTCTATCATGGCAAACAAGGATGTTAAAGGTCTTTTTAATTATATAAACTGAGGTTGAAATATTTAGTCATCACAGTTAAGGATTTGAATCTAGAATGTTTCATAAAGAAAAACAAAACAACAGAAACAAAAGTGGGTGCTCCTGTTGCTTTCTGAAGTCCAGCTCAAGGCTCAGCATGAACTTTGTCTCAAAGCCTCTCAAGCACTCAATGAGGCTCAAGGTTAGTTTTAATCTCCGTTTTAACAAATACCATAGCTATTTTTCAGATGACAACTGCCACACTGTAAAATCATTAATATGACGTGAAAAACAAAACCATGCACCAATGCATTGCAGCTTAGGAAATTTAAGAACTTATTTCTTAAATTAACTGTTACTAAATGTTTAAATGGGAAATTATTGCTAAGTCATATTTTAGGCTGAAAGGAAACATCTGTTCAAAAGTACTCACTTTTGTAAATAATTAGTGTGGATAATTAATGTGAAGTAATATATTAATAGCTAATAATTTATGTGGAAATTTAAAAATAAGAGCATGATCGAAATTTGGAATTCATTAATCACACACCAATAATGATTCAGGCCACCTGTCACATGCATTAAAAAACAGAGCAGTCGTTACAACTGTAGGTGACACACTGACGAAATGGAGGGAAACCCACAACCACACTTAGTTATTACCTGTGACATCCCACACCTACATGCAACACCACATAAAGAGTGATAAGCTAACAAGGCCAGCCACATGGCTCTGCAAAGCAATATTCAGCATATGCATTTTCTCCTTCCCCTCTTTCCCTGACAGACTCCTCAGTTCTACTTTTTATCTCCATCCATACTGCACTTCCTTTTCTACAGTATCTTTTGAGCCTCAGTATTCTCAGGTTTTGGATTTGAGGATATCTGCCACTTGAGGCACCTTACAGCCAAAAACTGAAAAATGGAAAAGCCAGGTCTCTTGCCTATCAAAGACTCACTTCCAAGAAAAGAATCCACTAGTACAACCATGCACTATCTACCCTGGCTGTCCAGCACTCATACAAAACAGCTTACAAGATGAGGGTCTGCAGCCCTGCAACCTGAAAGGGTTGCCTTTTCCACTAAGGGTCTGTTGCACCAGTGTAGTTGTGTTCTTCAGACCACAGAGGTGAATGCAATGAAGCTGCCCAAAAGCAGTGCCTCACAAGGTAACTACAAGGATGTTATAAGTTTACATCACTGTTACTGTGGAAAATTCTTGTTTCAATAAATTCTAAATTGATCAGGTGTGCTACATCGAATACTAGCTTCTGGTCTAGAAATGCAATGACATGTCAGTGAAAAAACAAAAAAGGTTTTATTTATATACAATATTAAAAAGAGCCTGACAGAGACCATTTTAAAACTTATTCTAGGAAAAATATTATAATCATGAAGTACCTAACTATTATTAGCAATGGCAGCACCCTTTTAGAAATATTTTTGCTACTGGAATAGTTTGAGAAGAGTAAATCTAAGCATTATATGCTATTCCTGACTGAGAACATGTGTTTACTAAGAGAAGTACAGGAAAAACTACATAAAGGGACAATCTATGTCAGAAATGGAGCATATCTGCCTAGTGAAATGGTTTTATTAATAAAATATGAAAGAAAATGTTTAAGTAGGAACCTGTTTAAGCAACTTCTCCTTAATTTAGGAAAGAAGGAAGTCTGCTTAAATTTTAAACATTTTCTGGCCATCTGAAGACACTCAAGGAGACCACAAAGTAGTAGAGTTGCTTGCAAAGGAATTTCAGAGGCAATTCCAGAAGGAACTTTTGTATTCTTTTATAATTTCAAATCCAAGTTGAAAAAAAGAGAAGAAAATCTTGAAATATGAGCTAAAGAAAAAGTTTCAGAGAAAGAGGAAATGCAGCAGAGGGTGGTGGCCCCCCAGGGCCACAGGCTGCTGCCTCCATGGGCTCCTGGTCAGACTCTCAGACTCTTGGAGGGTCCTGGGTAAGCTCTGCCACATTCTTCTGTAGAAAATAAGTCTTTTCACCATTTTGAAGGCATTCATTTAAGGATGAAAGCTATGAAGAGAATATTAACTCTGCCTATATTCACAAAAGAAAGGCATTTTGATTACTTCTGGAGAAGGAAGACTGAGAGGGAGGAACAAAATGATTGTCATGCAGAAAGCACCATCTTCTCTGCCTTCCTATTTGGTTTAATAGCAAGCTTTGAAAACTGCTTAACTATATTTCCTAAAGGAGAGGAAGCAAAATGAGACAGAGGAGAAAAATCTGCATAATCAAGACAGAAGACTTATTAGGGAAGGAGCCACCTGCTGGGAGGGCACAGTGCACAGTGGCAGAGTCAGGCGAAATGGGATGCGATGTTTACCAGACCTCACAGTTACAAAATCAAATTTTATTAAGAGCAAGAATAAGTGGGAAGATTTTGCTAGATTGAAAAAGTTGTACTAGACAGTTACTTTAGAAAACCAGAAGAAAGCTGGAAAATTGACTGAAAGAAAGCCACCCCAATAATCCCAAACTAAAAAGTTTGACCGGGAAAAGAAATAATCTCAGTGTCTTTATAAGCCGTTATTTCAAAAACATGTGCTAAGAACAAGCACAATTTGAAAACAAAATGTTGTTTTTAATACCTCTTGTCTGAAAGGAACAGTGAGAAGACCTCCCTCCCCGCTACCATGCCATTACTTAAAAGATTCAGGAAAAGAACCTTTGGGAAAAGGCAAATCAACCAAGGTAGGAGAGTTGATAGTGAGGAAAACATGCATCATGAAGAACATAATGGCTAGCAGAGGTGAGCACTCGTAGAGAAATGGAATGAGACACTTACACAGCAGCTATTTGTCAAGGGTCCTGATGGCTATTGTGTTCTTAAACCATCGAGACAGAATAGCAGGATGGGAAGAATGTAGTCACAAACAATCCACCAGATGACAACACTACACAGTGCAGAGGTCAGCACAGCTAGGGAACATCTGGAAAGGGGTGAAGGGGGAAAGAACAGATGTTGAAATTGGGAAGCCAAAATAAACAAAATAATAAGTAAAGCCACATGTGAATTTTAGATACCCAGTGATGCAAAGGGACGGGAACAGGAATGGTGTTTTTAGTTGGGATAAAAACGCCGTCTTCAGTTCTAAGCTGATTTGACACTTGGGAACAAAAGATCAGACCCAATTCCAAGTTCAAAACTGTCCCAAATTAATTGTCTGACACAAAAATCACAGCTGTAGTTATATGACAAATTCTATAAAAAGCAGAAGATACGGATATATAAAAAACTAAACCATATCACAGAGAAAAAGAAGGCAAAACTAACCAAATAAAAAAAGTCCTTGACTGATTATTAGCAACAATTTCATCAGTGGCACAATTACAGATAAACACAGCAGAACAGAACTGTATCACCCAGGAGCTAGACAAATTGCACGCTTTGATAACAAAGGCTATATGGAAATATACCCAGTACCAGACAACACAACATGAAGAAAATATGACTTATGCATTAATAATGTATAATTTTTCTTAGTTGTTTTTGTTGTGTTTTCCTCATGTAACCCAAAGTGGTTTTTAACTTAGCTTTCAGTATTTCTTAACCCACTGGGTCTGATGTCCAGCAGTTAGAAGAAACCTCTTCACAGTTGCAAAAGTGGTAACTCCTTCAATCACCACACTTCCAATGGTCACATGGATACATGTGTGATCAAATACATATATGACTCTACTGAGCATCTGCTTTGTGCTTAGTATTGAGCTAATCAAATTGGGAATAACTGATTCACCTTATTAGACCACCTTTATCTATGTGCCAGGTATCCTATGTATTGTTTAAAAATGAACAATAATGTAAAAAAAATTATAAAAATCATGTGTATATATAACATACATTTAATAAAAATATTTTAAAAGGGGGGATTATAATAAAGGATGATGGGACTGAAATTAAATCTAACTTCACCCCACAAGTTACACCTCTTCCACCTCATCCAATTCTTCCATCAAAAAAAAAAAAAGGTTTAAAATATAGATTAGATTAGTATTTACACAGAATGGAATAATACAGACCTCTACCTATCACAACTTTCATTTGCAGTTACAGACTTAATAGTTACTCCAAAGGCAGTTTATCTGTTCATGCGTAAGAACTGTTGTTCTAATGCTGAAAACAGTGATGACCCATTCACACTATACTGATAAAAGGGACGGCAGGAATTTTCAAGGCTAATTATATTTATAGGTTTATTTTATTCCCATGTAGGATGCACTTTCATTCTGTACCATTTCACTTAACCCTAACAAACCTAAGCAGAAATAATCAGTGTGCGGAAGTTATAAAATATACCAAGTCTATTTTGGCACAAACAATAACATACTTGCCATCACATTCTGATAATCACCTTAAGGTCATGGTGCTAATAACCTGTCTCCATGGTAGTCAGGATCAGACAAGCTCTTTGAGAAAATGACTATTTTATCATTTTTCTTTTTACAAACTTTAAATCCCACCCCACCCCCTGCAAATACTGATGGTTTATGAAATAGGAACCAATAACTGGAATTTTATGTACTGTAATGTTCTCTTAAGAATCACCAGTGTTTCTACATTTCTTTTTTTCAAAGATTTATTTTTACCTATCTATACATACAAGAACTGGGGTATAGGCCAGAGGTATGGGGGGGTGAGAGGATTCACCAGAGACAGAGTGGGGGAGCATAGCAGGAAGATCTACTGAGATACACTATTGAAGGGAGCAGCAGGCAAGACTGGAGAGGTCTGCTGCACCATGTGGGTTAGCTCTCTTGCTGGGGATGTAACTCATGCTGCAGTGGCTGGTGATATTCTGATAGCGCTGAGACTTTAACCCTTACACCACCAGGGAGGCCCTGGTTCTACATTTCTAACTCTCCTTCTTGCAAGTATTTTCACATGGCTAAGTAATAATTGGAAGCAAAATAACCTGCCCACAGTGTTAGATGAATCAAAATTGAAGGCAGGAATTGAATTTAGATTTCTCAATCCAAACATTTATTGAACATACACCCTCATGGGACTTTTATTTCTAAATAATAAACACTTGGAAGAAAAAGGAAATTTCCAACTGCCCTCCTACAACTAAGAGCAAAACAGAGATGACTATAACAGCAAAGATGGCTTGGAAAATCAGAGAGAATAAACAAAAATGTAAAGGAGGAGTACAGGAAATTTGTGGTGACTAATCTAACAAACTTCCACCTTCCCCAGTCTTTTCACAATACTAAGAACTTAAAAGAACTAGCACTTTGCTTTTTCCTTTAAAAGTATGCCCGCAGCCTCTGCAGCGCCAACTCAATCCTGGCCAAATGGGGAGATACTCACATGGCGTGTCTCGCCCGCGGCTCCCCTCAGCAGTGTATTTCAGTCAGTCTGCCTGTTCTGTTCCCCACTCTGTCTGTGGTGAATCCTCTCACCCCCCACCCTACACATTTGGCCTGTACCCCGGTTCTTGTATGCATGAATAAATAAATCTTTAAAAAAAAAAGTATGCCTTACATACTCCCTGGTGGCACAAGGGGTTAAATCTCAGCACTGTCAAGCTATCACCAGCCACTGCAGCAGGAGTTCGCTCCCCGGCCAGGGAACTACCCACATGGCACAGCAGACCTCTCCTGTCTCGCCCACTGCTCCCCTCAGCAGTGTATTTCAGTACATCTGCCTGTTCTGCTCCCCACTCTAATCCCCTCACCCCTTTACCCCCACACCTCTGACTTACACCCCAGTTCTTGTATGCATAAATAAATAAATCAAATCTTAAAAAAAATTGTATGCCTTACAAGTCATTGTGTTAATGGGAAGGAGAGCGTAGGAGTTATTCTGTCTCTAGAATTACAATTAAAGGGAATCTGAGCAAAGGCCAGTGTCCTTTATTACCTTTGAGGGTAAGGTGGAATATAACCAGATAACTAAACAAATGATAGGACAGAGTTGGTTTTTCCTCCCCAAGTCATCGCTACTACATATATTTAACCATCATTGATCATGTTCAAAATCCACCCCAAGGGATTTCACACACCAAGGTGAATGTAATTATTATCTAATGTCATCTTCTGGTTTTCAACAATATTTAGAATTTTTTCCTTCATTTTTTTGTTTTATATTACCACAAACGTATCAGCAAAGAGACCCTTACAGTCTCAGCTTTTCTAGGAAAGAGCATCCAGTGATCCGAAACTCTTTAGAAAACAATCACAAGAAAGCATAGTGACTAGAGGAAATTTCCTATAAGTCCAATTTAACAAAAACTTTTTATTAAGCAGAATTCCCATCCCCTGACTCCCAACTTGAATAATGAACAAAAAATGATAAGCTACTGGGAAAAGCAAAACAAAAACCCAGCACAACTAAAGCAACCCACAAAAACACCCATTTTCTAGGGCTTGCAGTTCAAAGTGTAAATCCTGGACCAAACCAGTAGCATCTGCAACACCTGAAAGCTTGCCAAACAAACAAAATCTAGGGGATATTCCCAGACCCAGTGATGATACAGCATCCCTGGCGCCTGCAATGCACACTGCAGTTTGAGAAGCACTGTTTTGGGGGACTGAAGGGACTATATTTCTAAATAAAAAGAACAATTAAGGTGGCTTAGGGGTTAAGTCTCAGTGCTATCACCACAGTGGCCTGAGTTCAATCCTGGCCAGGGCGCGAACCCACATATGGAGCAGCAGACCTCTCCTGTCTCGCCTACTCCTCCCCTCAGCAGTTTATTTCAGTCAATCCATTTGTTCTGCTCCTTACTCTGTATCTGGGGAATCCTCTCACTCCTGACCTCTGGCCTACACCCCAGTTCTTCTATGCAAAAACAAAAACAAAAACCAAAAACCATTAAGGCCTTAGATGAAGAAATGTAAAAAACAAAATGACATATGGAGTTAAAGTATATAAATGTAACAATCTTTTTTTTTTTTAAAGATCCAGTTATTCATACATACAAGAACTGGGGTGTTCTTAAAGCAGTGTAGTTGACCAAAGCACCATGGAGCTCTAAAGAGAATGTTTATTAAATACCCATATTCATTACTGAAGCCCTTCATTCATGTGACATTTTATACTGGCAAACTCCGTTTCTTTGTCTGGGTCTTTTAAGAACCTTCCAGTACAACAAGCCATGACATACACATGTCTTATTGTAGATCTACTTTACAACTTTAGATTATGAAGAGATGCCTGTGAAATCCATTTTTAATTAAAAAGAAATCTTGTTCTTCTCTGCCACAAGTATGTATTATGTCACTAGTTCCTTACCATACTAGTGAATAAAATGGCCTATTTTGATTTTCCCCTCCAAAAAAAGGGGGATGAGGAGGGCCTAGAAGTTTATTGCCCTACAATGAAGAGGGAGATTATTAGAGGGAAGGAACCCAACCTTAGAAAAAAAGTACAATGGCCAAGATTTTTTGATTCTACATATTTTTCTAATAATCTGGATGTTCTAAGAGGTTTTATCCAAATTAAAAGAAACCAAAGCATAACTAGACGTATACATACTCAATAACCATGAAATTTCCAATCCTCATGCTAACCCTTTTTCTGCAATAGTTCCTCAAACAAAAAATTAATATAAAAATAGTTTACTCTAATTCATCACTGTCCCCCCCAAATATAATGACATTAAGCTATCATGATACCCCTGATTAAATTCTACTAAATTATCTGCAATATAGTAGTAAGTTTAAAGAAATGCACAACTTTAATAACTATGAACAATTACTTTGTGGTTTACATCTGCTGTCATTCTTGTGAGGATGCCACATAGCGATCTTCCATGGAGAAAAAGCATTGCTAACATTGCTTTCTGACCTACATAGGCCAGTGAAGTTATAACAAAAGATGGAAATAAACAAAGGTAGCCAGGAGTTTCTCAGGCAACACCCCTAGATTTTAAGTAACTTTCCAAGTGATATAAAGGGCATATAACTATGGAGCAAAATGTACAGTAAAACATGCTCATGAAAGACTTCATATACATATTAAATAACATCAACCACACAAAGGAAACCACTCACGTGAGGGGAATAGCGTTTGTTTTTGACTGTCTTCTGCTTTTCAGAGCCCGAAGTCTATCACCTTGAGTCACTCCATTGATTTCGTCGTCATCACTGTACTGTACAAGTAAAAAAACACTGAGCTAATGATTTAAGTTGCATGTATTCAATCAATAAAGCATAGGGACCACATTTATCCATATGCATAAAAGTGTATATATATGTATGTATGTGTATATATACACAAACACCTATGCATACACACATACACAAATATACACTTCAACTTCCTGCTGAACTCTAAAGTATATTTCTCTTTTCAAAATAAACCTAGAGGTCAAGTTTCACGATACCCAAAAACTGACTTTCAAAATACAGAATCCAGTATCATTTGTTATAAAACATATTAATAAGAAAGAGGCATAATGGGTTTTCAGTATTGAAAACATTCTCTTTTAAATTTCACAATTTACTTACCACGATTTAATATAGTACTCCTACCACCCTAAACTCTTGGCTCTTTAAAATTCTCCATTTGAGAAGGGTTGGTTCCCTAAATCAGCTGTCACAGACGAGAAAAAGTTGATGGGGTACAAAGGGGAGAATTACTAGGTCAAGCTAAAATGATCACTACACATACCTCTTTTTCCACCAATGCCTAGTAAGTTTATAAAAAAAAAACAACCCACACAATTTTTGCCTGTAGACACATAACCTGGTTTTAAACATTTTGAAATAAAAAGGTGCTAAAGAGGGCTATACATGTAAAAAAAAAAAATGTGTGACGATAATCCCTCAAAATGTGCTTTATTACTTTTATCTACAATTTTCTCCATGTCCTCAAAGGTTTTCAACAGCATTTAAAGCAATTACAAAAGCATGATGGGGATGGTTCGATTACCAGTTCAGTTTCGTGCTTGTCCTGGTTTTCGATCCCATTAATGGAAATGTCATCAACAGCCAGGAGGAGTTTTGTGACAGCTGCTCTGTGTTTTCCATTCTTCTGACTCCTTAACTTTTGACGGAAATAGTCACCTTCCAACCAGAGGCTTGCCTCTTTCCTAGAGTGTTTAAATGACATCAAAATATAGCCTTCCAGAAACATACAAATTTCTCCTACGGCATGATCTATTCTGAGTAAGTCTACTGCCCCATAACTTTCCAGAACCGTGTGTTCCCTAAGAAATTACAGATAATCTCGCTCTACTTACATAACCAAAAATTGTTGCTGAGGCCCAATCACTGAGCCAGGTCTACAGATTCTGACCCAAGCAATGGTCTCAGCTGCTGACATCCTGTAATGCTTCATCATGTAGCAGGCTATCAGAGTTCCTGTTCGTCCAAGACCAGCTAAGAAAAGAAACAAACCAATAAGACCTAGCCTCACAGCCTCCAGAATTTTATTGTGCAGTAGAATACTTTTTAAAGGCTTCCCATGATTCTGCTTTCCTCAAGTTTGAATATGCACTGCCAACAACTGGAGTTCTTAAAAATACTGGCTCTTACCTCCAAAATTCTGATTTCAATGGTGTGTGGTGCAGTATGGACAGAGTTCTACAATCTCCAAGATGAGTCTATGTACAGTCAAGATTGAACATCACTCTCTGAGTGATGATTCTCAGTAAGCAGTGTTTTTTACTCTGGGTTTTTCTGTTAACTGTATCATCATTTTTTTGGCAGCGGTATCAAAAGCACAGGCTTAAAAATCTTGCACTTTCTCATCTAACAGTTTTTTCCTACTCTACTTTCATATTCATTTTCACAGATTTTTCTTTTTATTCTAGTTCTGTTGCTCTCCTTTACTCTCATGCAGACTTCTATCATAACCTCAGACCACTGTTAATTTTAAGGTCAGATATAGTTGGATGAGACTGACAAATTGTAGGACTCTGAGCAATCACACTGTACTCCAAATGTGGGTGGGCCTCACCCAATCAGTTGAAGTTATGCACAGAACAAAAAGATTGGCCTCTGTGAACTTGAGGAATTCTCCAGCAGACTGCTTTTGGACTTTACCATGTGCTCTCCTGCACATCCATTCTGCCAGATCACACTAGATTCTGCACTTGCCAGCCTCCATATTTGCACTGTCCAATTCCTTATACTAAATCTTTCTGTCTCTGTCTCTATCTCTTCTGGAAAACTCTAATATAGATTTTGGTACCATGAAGTAGCATGTTACTTAACAATATGTAAAAAAGTGGAAGTGGCTTTGGAATTGGAATTGTAAAGTCTGGAAGAGTTTTGAAGCACATGTGAGGGGAAAAAAAACCTACACTGGCTTGAAGGGACTGTTGGTAGGAATGTGAATGTTAATGGTGATTCTGGTGTGAGTTCAGATGAAAATGAGGAACACACTGGAAACTGGAAAAAAGTGGAGGGAAAGTGTTAGAAAGTGATAAAAAAAAAAAAAAACAGACTGAATTGCCTTGAGGGTTTTGTGGAAGGTTTAACTTGTGGGTGACAGTCTCAGGTATTTAGCAAGGGATATTTGTAAGTTTGAGGGTATAGTTTGGTTCGTCCTTACTGATTATGGCAAAATGTGAGAGAAGAAAGCTGAATTAAAGGAATTGCTAAGCAAAGAGGAACCAGAAACTAAACATTTAGAAAATTCTAGGCCTACCTACATTGCAGAAAGTGAGAAAGCATTTTCTGGAGAGAACACCAAAGGTGTGATTAGAAATCAAATCCATAAAGAGATTACCCATACAGTTAATCAGTCATCTCAGCAGAAGCCAAAAATAGTGGTGGGATTATACTAGCCAACACACTGCCAGGTTAGACTAAAGAGGACAGACACAGGATAAAATAAAGGAAGACTTCCAGATTTCTGGAATTCTAATGACTGACAATAGAGGTTTCTAGCTGCAAACATGCCTCATCCTTCAAGAAAAGGACAACAAGATCCAGAATAATGTATATACTCTGTCTTGGTGGGCAGAGTGTTCTAAATATTTGTTAGATGTACTTGGTTTACTGTGTTGTTCAAGTCCTCTATTTCCTTATTTATCTTCTGTCTGGTTGCTCCCTGCATTATTTAAAGTGGGATATTGAAATTTCCAACTATTGCTATGTAACTTTATATCCCCCTTCAATTCTGTCAATTTTTCCTTCATAAATTTTAAAGGTTTGTTATTAGGCATGTAAAATGTTTATAAATAGGCCTCCCTGGTGGCGCAGCAGGTTGAATGCAGTGCTGTGAAGCTGTCCACAGCCTCTGCAGCGCTGGTTCGATTCCTGGCCAGCCAGGGAGATTCCCACGTGGCTCAGGAGACCTCTCCTGTCTCGCCCGCTGCTCCCCTCAGCAGTATATTTAGGTCCTTCTGCCTGTTCTGCTCCCTGCTCTGTCTCTGGTGACTTCTCTCACCCTCCCACATCTCTGGCCTGTACCCCAGTACTTGTATCAATTAAAAAAAGAAGTTTATAAATATCATCTTAATGTGTTGAATTTTCTGTTAATATAGAATGCCCCTTTTTGTCCTGTGTAATTTTTCTTTATCTAAAGTCTATTTCTGAAGAGCACAAGGAACTATTGTAATGGTGCATGGGTGGTGGGAATTATACGGGGACTACACCTGAGGGGAGAAAGCACACACCATACAAAAAGGAAGAATGATGTAAAGTATATATAAAATAAAAAACAAAGTCTAGCTTTGTCTGTTATTAGTGTAATCACCTCTGCTCTCTTTTGGTTACTTTTACATGAAACCTTCCTTCCCATCTTTTCATTTTCAACCTATGTGTCTTTGTATCTAAACTAAATCTCTTTAAGATTGCATATATTGGATTATTATTTTTAAGTCATTTGTCAGTCTCACCTTTTGACTGGAGAATTTACAACTGAGGTTACAATAATGCCAGCCTTTACCAGAGATCCTGTTTCTTCATAAAACTTTAAGTGACTGTCTAGTATCCTTTAATTCAATCTTTACTATTTCTTACAAGGCAGACCTAGTGGTAGCAGACTTTCCCTCCAATTTTAGCTACCTGGGGATGTCTTACTTCCTCATTTTTCAGAGACAGTTTTGCTAGACTTAAGATCTGTGGCTGACCGTTACTCTCCTTCAGCAGTCTGAATATATCAGCTCATCACCTTCTAGTCTCCAAGGTTTCTAATGAGAAATCTGCTAATAATTGTACTTGTATATACTAAGTTGATTTTTCTCGTGTTGCTTTTGAGATTCTCAGAGAATCTAAAATTCTGATTTTAGAATGATTAATTCTAATACGCCTTGCTGTGAATCTCTAAATTTGTCCTGATTGCAGCTCTCTGACACTGAAATTTGCATCTTTTGTCAAATTTAGGAAATGCTCAGCCATTACTTTAAATGATCTCCTTGTTACTTTTTCTTCCTTCTGCCATCAGGATTCCCACAATTCATATACATTGGTCCACTTTGTGGTGTCCCAGATGTCTATTAGGCTAAGTTCACTTTTCAACCCTTTTACTTTCTGTTCCTCAGACTTGATCAGGTAAGTGGTACTATCTTAAAGTTTGCAGAATCTTTCTTCTGCTTGCTTGATTTTCTCCAGTAAATTTTTCATTTCAGTCATTACACATTTCACTTTCAGAATTTCTTTTTGGTATCCTTTTATGTTTTCTATTTCTCTATTGATATCTCCATTGTACACAGTTTTCTTGACTTTGTCCACATTTTCTTTTAGCTTCTTATGCATCTTTATATGTTGTTTTTAATGTCTCTGTATAGTAAGTTCACCGTTTAGTCTTTTTCAGGGATGGTTTCTGTTTATTCATTCTTGTTCCTTTGAATGAGCTATACTTTCTTGTTTCCTGCCTTCTGATGTTTCTGGTGAAAACTGGACATTTTAATTTAATAACATGGTAACTTGAGAGATTAGATTTTGGCTATTCTCCAGGTTTGCTATTTTTGTTTTTTTAGACTTTTGTTAACAAAAATGTTAGATTTTTCTTAACAAAAATGCTTGTTGTCTTCTTAACTATCCAACAAAAGAAGAAAAACTAAGTAAGTCTAGCACATTCATATAATGAATACAAACACTTCAGTTATTCAACAAATATTTATTAAGTGCTAGTCACTGTTCCAACTGTAGAAAACATAGCAACTTAATAGAATATAAGGCGACAAAACTCTTGGAGTTTGTTCTGTCGTTGACATAGGCTAGAACCTACTAAATAGTAGACAGTGAATAGATATTTGATGAATAAATGAATGCATTTCAACACGGTAAGACTTTGTAGAGTTACTTATGAATCCAATTTAATTTGCTAAACTTTTCATAGAAAACTAGGGTTTTTTTTTTTTTTTTTTTTTTAAAGATTTATTTATTTACATAAGCACTGGGTACAGTCAGCAGCGCGGGAGGGTGAGAGAATTCACCAGAGCCAGAGCGGGGAGTAGAACAGGCAGAAAGACCGAAGTACACTGCTGAGGGGAGCAGCAGGCAGCAGGAGAGGTCAGCGCGCCATGTGGGACCCTCCTCCAGTGGCCGGGGAGCAGCCGGGGATCGAACTGGCACTGCAGAGGCTGCAGGCAGCTTTGAAACCCAGTGCTCAACTGCTGTGCCACCAGGGGAGGCCCGAAAACTAGGTTTTTAAAAACATTCTTTATATATATTGCTTTTTAATGTCACTCATACCTCAATAAAGTGATTTTAATAAAAACGCTTACAAGAAAATAAAGGCATTCTTTTAAAAACCAAGGCAGCATATTAGAACTGGCATAAAGTCCAAATGAGCATGGTATGTTTCTACACAACTACATATGTGTCCACTATATTTTAACCAACCTTAGAAACATACCTTTACAATGTACTGCAATAGCACCCTCGGCATTTTCACAAATATTCAGAAATTCTCTGACTATGGCATCACTAGGGGTGCTGCCATCCGCAAAGAAAAGGTCATAGTGATCGAAACCAGCATTCGTAAAGCGTTTGGCATCATACATCCTTTTATTCAGACGAATAACGGTAGTAACGTTGTGGCTCTTAAAATATGAAATATAAGTCTCAGGAGAATGTTGGTGGTAACCTACATAAAGAAATTCACCAGATATCATAAAAGCAGAAAGAAAACATTGTATAACAATTTCACTTGTAACTGGGTAGAAACAGTATCTGGACTGGGGATTGCGTATCAATTTGATTGTAACTGTAAAAAAAAGTCATTAAAAAAGTTAAAATCCAGGCAGAATAACATATGAAAATGACAAAGTGTACTTAAATAATTAACAGTCAATCTTAGTTTAAACTCTGGTCTCTTTTAAAAGAAAATAAAGGATGGGTACTTTTAATAACAAAATTATATTGGTTTCATATTTAGACATACCGCTTTCAAGTTTGGTTCTTGAGTGAGGCCCACAGAAGGCAATGAATAGATCTGGTATTATCCAGTTAAAATCTCCATTTTCTGCTTTCTGTAAAGAGAAGAACCAGCACAACTCATTTTTGGGACTTAATTTCCTACCCAGTCTTCAGTATTGACTGTCTGTAGAACTTCAAATCCATTTGTATTAAAACAAAGCTGTTTCTAAATGACTGTGAAAAGTAACCTGGAATTTGAAGTAGTATGAATATTTCCATGGAATCATTAGTTCTTCTGATGGCTCTAAGCACGTTCAACCTTCCTTTCTTTTGACATAGCCTAATCATAGTCTTTTAACATTTTTTTGCTACGGTAGTCGGCCTTCAGAAAGTAAAGCTGACTATTATTATCTAAAAAATATGTAAGTGCTTTGGTTATTTTATCTGAGTAAATTCTCACTTGCTGCTAATTAATAAGCAAACTTTTCTAAATTGAGGGATCTGGAAATTCCCGTTTTCCAGAATGACAAATTGGCTCCCATTATGAGCCACATCAACATCTTGAACAAAGAAAAAACTAAGTTCTTGACTTCTCAATGCTTACTTTTTATTTGTGGAGAGATACTTTTCATCATTTTGCTAGTTGTTTAATAAGAGGCCCAATGAAAAATTTTCACTAAGCCCTCCAGGAAATTCAAATCACAAGTATACTGAGTTGTAGCATGTCTCTTGGAAAAAAATATGAAAATAAACTGAAATTTAAAACACCTTACTTCCTGTTAAGTTCTGTGAATTGAACTACCTAGCAATTTTAAGATAAGTATAGTTCAAATTTAACCACAAGAGAAATGGATAAAGACTTAGGCAGGAAGTAGGAGACACTTGATAGTGGAGCAGAGAACTGGTGATAAAAACAAGATCAATTAGCTTTGAAACTGTGGTCTGTGTACGTGTACCTAACAACAAGTAAGAAATAAACCAGAATAAACTCTCTCAGGTCAGGCAGGTAATCTCAGACCTATTTACTTATCAGTGAGAGAAATAGTGAGCCCCTGGTTCAAAGCTAAAAGGTGTAAACAGGAATGAGGCTAAGTTTTGCCAGATGTTCTGATTTTGAGGAAAAACAAAACAAAACAAAACAAAACAGAAATCTGGAGTTTTTAGTGAGCAACTTGTGATTACACTTCACTGAATTGCAGGAATCATAGAGTGTTAGATGCATCCTGAATTCTAAGAAATTAAAACAGGAAAAAATAGGTGACATTGAATCAAAGAAAGACACTAATCCAAAGTCTCTCAAGATACTGTAATGAGGGCCTCCCTGGTGGCGCAGCAGTTGAGCGCTGGGCTGTGAAGCTGCCCGCAGCCTCTGCAGCGCCAGTTCGATCCCGGCCACCAGGTGAGGGTCCCACATGGCACGCAGACCTCTCCCGCCGTGCTCAAACTGCTGCCCTCAGCAGTGTACTTCATCAGTCTGCCTGTTCTGCTCCCCACTCTGGCTCTGGTGAACTCTCTCACCCTCCCACGCTTCTGACTATACCCAGTGCTTGTATAAATAAAATAAATAAATCTTTAAAAAAAAAAGATACTGTAATGAATTTCATCTGCGAGCTGCCCATGGCCTATAGCTATCTAAGAAGTTCCCTGTGTCTCAATGTAGTTACCCTGAAAGTAAGTAACAAGGGTAGGTGACCCTGCTACTACTACTCCCCGCCAATGCTGCAATTTATGCATTAGTGAGGGAGCTCATTAGTGCCTATATTATTCCTTAGTGACACAAAATGGTATCACTGAGCTTCAATGAAGGAATAGCAACCGGTGTTTTAATAGTTTTGTTTGCTTCAGAACAGAAAATATATATTATATTCAATAGATTGGTCATTGAATATACATTAGGACTTTAGAAATGCATCACTATTACAGGAGAAGTAGAGACAGGGTTTGCTTTAATTAACCACACAATATGCTTTTACATTTTTGGTACAAGACAGTAATGACTGATGGTAACTATTAACGCAGTTTATCGGTAAAACAGTTGTCAAACCTAAGAGTTTAAAATAAATTACTTTAGAAGCTGACTGTGAAAGCATAGCTATCTTAGGATTCAACATATTGCTGCATAGAGGGCTGTCTGGGGAATCACTCATTATTAATGAGATTATTACTCAAGGCCAACTACAGTGTGATAAAAAGACAAGATTCCACAAGTATTCTTGCTGAAAAGGAGCTTTAGTGTAGCATTTTTCTGGTTATCTGCTTGGAGGATAAAATAGTAGAAACAAATTACATATCCTTTTTAAAAAATGTGTTGTATTAAAAAAACATAGAGGGCATCTGTGGTTTTGCCTGCCTAGACTGTTTTTTCTTTTTGATCTGTATGGTTTGATAGGGCTAACCCCAGCACTCCAGTTCTGGGGGTGACTAGCCAGAGTGTTCTCTGACCCTACACTGCCAGGAACACAGCTTGGTTCTGGGCGAGGTACATGATATATGCCAGACCATTGAGAGGAGCTTGTGGGCCTTCTGCTGAAACCATGAATGCCCTTTTCTGACGAGTTTGTCAAACAGGTAAGTCAAAGCTGTGAGCAGTCTTTATCACACCGGGGAGGACTGACCTGGAAACAAAACTAGTTTCCACCCAATTTCTGCTAAATGTTTGAGTACCCATGAAAATCAATTAGTAAACCACACAAAGGTAAGTGCCTGAGTATGTGAATCTGGCATAAAGTTACACGTACTTTTTAGACTTTTTTGCTTACGCAAGTCAGTAAATTTTCCATTTTTTACTTGTCATTTGTGTTTACTTTCTGTGATTTGCAACCAGAAATGCCCTAACTTCATATAAACAAAAGGTTATGATCAAACAGGTACTTTTCAGAGGATTAAAGTGATTATTTATTCATCTTATCAGATACTATGCTATGGATTTGGTAAACATCTTTTCATGTAATCACTATATGAAAATTCATCAACGCTAAAAGAATTTAAACCTAACATTAAAGAAAAATGCCCAGAACAACTTATGTACTCTGGAAGGATGCATCAAATACAGAAATTACAGCTAAGAAATGGGATTGCAGAAATGGAGATAAGAGGATAAAGACAACTTTCTTTATTTTACTCTGTATACATCTAAATTGTTCATATTGCAGTGAGCAGGAATATTACTTCTTTAAGTAAAACATGAAGAAAACAGTTAAAAAAATATCCTGCAAAACTTACCTCATAGTATTCATATTCATCAAGATTAAATGAGTTGAAATTAAGGAAGCCATATAACATTGCCTAAAATCCAAATGAAATCTTTTAAGAACAAAGATGCAAACAATGTAACAATTTCCAAACCAACCCACAAATAATAAAAATCAGGAGGTGCCCCACAGAAAAAGCATTACTGTATTTAGATTATGTATTTAGATTATGTTTATTTTAATGGATCTGATTTTTTACTAGCTTTGTCAATCATCTTACCTTATACAGCTAAATAATCAAGGCTTTAATGTAATCCCACTAAATTATTAGATCAACACAACAGTCAGACTTCAAATAAAATATACAACCTAATGATCCCTAAATGAATAAAGGATAAATAAACCATAGGTTAGTTAGTTTATCCCAAACAAATCCCACGTACTTCACAAATAGCCTCACTTTCAAATTCTTCTGAATTTGAGATTCAGAATTAAGAAATTCTTGAATTAATAGAGATTAATGTTCTTCACACTAAAGCTGGCCCAGAGATGAAAACTAAAATTCAAAATTTTGAGGAAAAATATTCCTCATGAGAAAAAAAAAATAAGTAAATGTTCTGCTTTATCCTGAAGCCTTGCTCTGAGCTTCAGTGGGCAGAACATGCTAATCAAAATAAACTATTTTCTGAGGTAAGGACAAGCTGGCAACCTCTGAGAAGTGTTCTTCCTGCTCACTGATCATTGAGCCAAACAGAATGCAAGTAAGAATTCATGGTCAACAAGCTATTTTTTCAAAAGGAGCGCTTCTGTAAACCTAGTTTTTAAAATTTAAACTACTGAAATATGAATGAAAAATGAGGTAACTATCAAACCAAAAAAAGTCCTTATTTTATGAAATATTTATTTAAACTAGTTTCAAGGCCAAATCCAAGATGGATTTTATTTCTTTGAATTCAAAATATGAAGTATGTGTCAACACATTAGAACTAGATATCCCAACAGACTGATACAAGATGTAGGTAACATACAATTTCCAGTCTCCTTTGAATTTCATAAGGAGATCCTATTGGAAGTAGCACTAAAATTAAAACAATTATGTTTATAAATGTTTTATATATGTAATATTCAAAACCAGTCACAAATAAAATGTTTAAATTGAAAATCATAAACGGTTGACTGTTGAATAAAGCTAAATACAGCATGAAAAAAGGCAATTTTTATCTAGTTCATTAGACTTTGGATATAATATCTGATTTAAAAAAAAAAAAAACCTAAGCCAAAAAAATAACAATAGAAACTGCTATAAAATGTCATAGCAGGTCATTTCAAGGCTCTCAAAGCTTTCCTTCTTTTTTTAAAGGTGGTGGTAGTGGACAGAAATGTGCCAACCTTCATTAGCAGCGCCGTGGGCTCCATCCCCCAAATACACTGGGGGGGAGTCAGGGGCAGAGGTGTCATTATACCCAAATTGTGTCTCTGGCCAGTACCTTCCAAAAGTCAGACTTGATGGAGCTGCCCCCAGAGCCTATGGCAACTATCTCAATCAGCTCCATACATTAGAGTTATTGAATTCAAACCCAAAAATATTAAGTTCTGAACCTCACTGTCTAATATGGGGGAAAACAGCATACTAATAAATTTCTGAATTTGTCTATTTCTATTGAATTTTTCCTCTCATTTTTATCCATAGCATTCTATCAAAAAGTCTCAGAAAGTTATCATGTTTCATTATATAAGAAAGTAAACCTTTCCTTTTGCCTCTGAAAATATGTCACATATAACACGAGATGTTGATGGCTTATTTGATCCATGACCCAATTTACAATTCTATTTTTTTGTGTGTGTGGCTGACATTCAAGATGTAAGTATACCTGAGGAAGTAAGAGTTATACCCAGGGTCTGCTGTGCCATGTCACCCCAGGGGGCCCGGATCACTAGGAATATGACATGCAGGCCCATCCCTGGAGTCAAGACAGCAAGCAGTCCTGCTTATAAAACACAAGTTATTTTAAAATAGCCTTGACAAGGCAGTAGTGATGCTACTTAGTTTTATATAAAACCTAGTAACAAACTAGCAGACTGTTCAAATTCTTCTGCTGAACTAGACATTGAATGCTTAAGGATATAAAAATGAAGTGTTTGGGGCCTCCTTGGGGGCGTAGCGCTGGGCTGCGAAGCTATCCAAAGCCTCTGCAGGTCTGGTTGGATCCCTGGGCACCGGAGAGGGTCCCACATGGCGCGCAGACCTCTCCTGCCACGCCCGCTGCTCCCTTCAGCAGTGTACTTCGTCAGTCTGCTTGTTCAGCTCCCTGCTCTGGCTCTGGTAAATTCTCTCACCCTCCTGTGCTTCTGACTGTACCCAGTGCTTGTATAAATAAATAAATTTTAAAAAAAATAAAATAAAAAAATGAAGTGTTTGACAGCTACTGAGTTGTAGAAATGTCTGCTGTAAACAGGATTTTTGGGAATCTGACCCATAAAAGACATAAATCAAAGAGAACTTGGAAACCAGTAATCTATTTACTTTTTTTTTTTTTTCCCTTTGAAATCACAACACACTCAAAACCAGTTTTGGATTTAGAACCTAATTACATAAATGTGACTTGTTGTTCGACTGACTTTCCCCTTTATGCAAAGAAGCACTCTAAAGAATCAACTGTTTTTTGGTTTGGTTTCGCTCTAATGTTAATGGGTAAATGAGATGCCTCTGACCTCACCCACATCTTGGAAGATATCTTGGATAAGAAGCCCCAGTCTTCCTAGAACTGTACTTTAAGTTCTCGAAAATAACACTGCCAACATCGTATGAGTCACTTACCTTCTTTACTGCATGAAAACAGTCAAGAAGTGTAATGTAGAAATTGCAGCTCCCATAGGCAGCATCTCTGAAAACCCAAAAGCATTGAAATCCATAGCTTAGTTAATTTAATCTTCTATAGTACATTTACCTCAAGATAAATCTGCCTAGAATTTAAAATCAAATACAGGGCATCCCTGGTGGCGCAGGAGTTAAAGTCTGCGTAATCAAGCTACTGGTAGCCACTGCAGCATGAGTTCGATCCCTGGCCAGGGAGCTAACTAACCTATATGGTGCAGCAGACCTCTTCTGCCTCACCAGCTGCTCCTCTCGGCAGTGTATTTCAGTACATCTTTCTGTACTGCTCCCCCCTGTGTCACTGGTAAATCCTCTCAACCCCCCCAACACACCTCTGACCTACACCCCAGCTCTTATATGCATAAATAAAAAATAGATCTTTAAACAATATATAAACAAAGAACTTATCTATTAAAAAATCAAATCAAATACATACTCAGAACTAGTCTCTGAAAAAAATCCCACAGTTTGGTTTTTAAATAAAAGATAAGTTGCTGTTATAAATTTCACTACAGTTTCTACCTATTCCATTATATACATGAATCAATAACGACCACTTCCTAAATCTCAAATGGTCTCGTGGGATCATTTTTGGCTTTGATGGCTGAGCTCCACAAGTTCCTTTTTGAGTTCAACTAATCAATAATATGTAGCCCTATCACAAAAGGACAAAAGAATTTTGTCTTCAAACTGGAAAATATCATGTCAAACTATTACCAGGAGAGACTGCTTTTTTATTCTGTGTGTGTGTGTGTGTGTGTGTGTGTGTGTGTGTGTGTGTGTGTATCTCCCAGTAGAAAAATGTATTGGGAAATCAAGGTCATAATTAAAATACTGGGTGTAAGGTAAAAAGCATTTGTTCCTCTCATTATACTTTTACAATTTTTAACCATTTAACTGGATAACTTCTTTCTGATTGTTAAAGAATAAAAGTGTGACAGACATGAGTCAACTATCTTTAGCAAATCACTCTATACTTGAGAATGTATTCATGTTATAAATAACTTCACCCAACATTGCATCAATACCTGTCAGTAATCTTACTACAAATCAATTAAGTTTTTGTCCAGAGAAATAAGGTACTCCTCTCCACTCATACCTGCTTCTTCCTGGCTACTTTGAGTCTTTACAAAGTGAAAATTTTTGGAATTAGGCAAGATAAAAATTTAATTATGACAATGCTAGTCATGCCAAAGAACTATGCCTATCTGAACATATTAATTTTTTCCCTAGGGAGAACCAGGTTGCCACTGAAATTGTCTTCAATTGCCTGCCTTGTTTGGATTTTCAGTGTAATATTACCTTAAAAATTAAAGTGCAGGGCCTCCTTGGTGGCGCAAGGGGCTGAGATGCAATCTATGAAGCTATCCACAACCACTGCAGCATGAGTTCAATTGCTGGCCAGAGAGTTACCCACATGGTGCAGCAGACCTCTCCTGACTTGCCCGCTGCTCCCCTCATCAGTGTATTTCAGTGATCTGCCTGTTCTGTTCCCCACTGTGTCTCTGGTGAATCCTCTCACACTCCACACCTCTGGCCTGTACCCCAGAGTTCTTATATACATAAATAAATCAATCTTAAAAAAAAATAAGTGCACATTTAAAAATGTTAATTCTTGCACAAATCTTAGAATCAGACCATTATAGCAACACTGAACTAACAACAGTAACCCATTCAGCTAAAAGGGTTTTAGGAGTTACAGAATTGGTAGAAGTATCAAGGTACATTATTGTATTAGTCTCCATGAGGACAAGATGCAGGTTTTACAACATGCCATATTTATTCTGTAGACTTCTAATGTAAAATTTGTTTTTCTAAAAGCTAGAAAACATCTCTATCCAACCTAGAAGACAGTGATTTAAAAAAAAACTTATTGCCAAGTTTCAGGAAGGAGAAAAACAAAAGCAGCATCAGCATCACCACCTCAGTCAGAAATCCCAGTTCCCAGGGTCTACCACAGTCCTACTGAGTCAGAAGTTCTAGGAGTAGAGCCAGGTAATTTTTGTTCTAACAAGATACTAAAGGTCATAGTGATGTATGTTCAAGTTTAGGAAGAACACAAATACTTGCTTTGTAAAAATATATTTTTCTGGAATAAAGAACATTTTGTATATCTGCTAAGGTGAAAAAATGATGCAGTTTGGTCTATCAAAATTGCCAGTGGAAATAGGATAAATTCCCAAAAAGCATCCCAATATTTTTAACCAGGTCTCCTCAGTTAGCTGGTAATTCTTTTCCACTCAAGTTAAAGGCATCTTGATGCATTTATTCAATGCATAATTTTTTGAGAACTTACAGATGAGGGTCAAGCCTTTATCCATGATGGTACTACAAGCTTTGACCTAGGTCTGGCTGCAGTTGTGCTTTTATACATCCTACTATTTGAATAGACAACAAAAATCTTTCTTTACTGGTTCATATTTATTTCATTAACACCTCCAACTTGAAGCCCACCTACACCTCCCTCCTCTACCCAAGCAATTAAGCTTCTTCAAAATGAAAATAGCAGCTGTAAATCTGGATGTAAGCCTTGTGGGGGGCAAAGTGGGAGGGGGTTGTGATTAAGGTCATTTAACAAACTTGGAAACATAGATGAGAATCAATGAAGGCATATTGCTTGGAAACTGCAAAACAATGTGAAGCTCTACTTTTAAAAATAACAGCTTTCACAGCAGTTTGTATTCACAATAGCCAGAAAGAACAAATTAACCCAAGTAGCCATCCAAAGGGCAAAAGACAAATAATGGTATATTCATAGAATGGAATGCTACAAAAGCAATGAAAAAGGATGAACTACTGATACTTGCTACAACAACATGGATAAATCCGAAAAAGCTAGGTCCACCAAGCTTTCCAAAATTCATACTACATGATACTATTTATATAAAGTTCAAAGGGAAGAAAAACTAACTGCTGGTGGTAGAAACATAGTAGGGACCTGGGATATAGTTACTATTATAGGAAGAGGTAGAAGGGAATATTCAGGGGTGCTGGCAATGTAGCAGGAGGAAAAAACTATTGTGAATTTTTTTTTTTTCAAAATATTATCAGGCTTTATTAATTCTGACTGGCTTACATTCTAATTAGTAAGTTCTAGGGAAAAGTAAAATGTGTGGCAGCAGCAGATATTTAAGTTTGTCATAGTCAAATAACTTTTGTGAAATACAATATGAACTGCAATGATATTGTATTATTGCATACTCACAATAGGATAATCTTGGTTTTGGAAATAAAAATGAATTACTAGGAGTATAGAAGGAAAAATGCATAAAATACAGCCAAATTCTTCTATTATTTGGTTCCACAAGCAAAAAAAAAAGCTGTATTAAATTACTATATAAAAGTCTCTAAAATTTTACTCTCAATTTCTGTACTTATTAAGGGCTGGTAACAAAAAGTTCAGAGACCGGCACTAGGTAACAGAGCATACACTTAGAGAACTAATGCTTCAGATAAACATCTGGCATCTATCACTGAAAATATCAAAATTAGCTAAAATCTAGCTAAATCCTGTCTTTTAGCCAGTTACTGCCTTTTGCCCATGAGACCAAAGAAAACTCATTTTTCAGTGCCAAACTTCAGTAATTTTTTGTGTTTTTTGGTATGCATTTTTATCTGCTCCAGGTGGGGTTTGAACTTAGACTTCAATAATGTATAGTTTAAACTCTGAAACCTTTCCAAATAAATCTATATTTCCTTTTTTTTTCCTCCTCAGCAAGTTTACTGAGGAAAGAGAAAAAGGAAAGAGAGACGCCTGCATAGACACAGACAGGCAGGCTTAAAGGACAAGAACTGCCAAATCTGTTTCATTGAGAAAGTCTGTGGAAGGTCTTACAGCTATTTAAAAAGATTCTGCCTAAGGTCAAAACCAAAAATGACTCCAGACATTATACTGGCATCCCTGTACTGGGTGGAGACCAGGGAGGCTGCTAAAAATCCTACAATGTTCAGCATAGCCCCTATCAACAAAATGTCAATGGAGTCATTATTGAGCTACCTAGGTACTCACACCTACATTCCCATAAAACTGCCCTTCGGAATCGACTGTTTATAGGTTCTTTTTTCAGAAACATACACCAAGATATTTCTGGTAAGGACCTGATTACATGAATCTACCACATCATTTTTATATTTACCTGAAAGGAATATAGGATGTATCTCCAAACATTAGTATTCTATATGCGTCTTCTGGAGTTCTCCCCAAATATATGACCTACATTTGAAAAGACAAAAAGATAATTTACTTTTAAATGAAAACATGGTGCTATCACTGTTCTGCACAATTTTTGGCCAATGAACTGAGTCGGTCCTCCAGCCTTCCCAAGAAGTCTGAGTCACCCAGCAGCCTGTCAGTGAATTCCTTTTTTTGTCTAAATCTGCCATAGCTGGTTTCTATTGCCTGCAACAAGAGTCCTGACCGACAACATTTCACAACAATCTTTTGTAGTGAGTACAACTTTTTAAAAATAGATTTTCTAAATCAAGATGTTAGATTGAACACATCTTTTACTAACCTCCTTTCTAAAAATTCACTAGAATGACAGTAAAGAAGTGTCTGTTGGGGGTAGGACTGAGGTGGGTTGGGGTGGGGATGAGGTGGAGAGGGACACAAAACCAGAGCCCAGATGTTAGTAAGTTCCATTCACTTACATTTACCTACTTGTCATACTATACAGGTTTCCTATAGAACTGTATGTGTTGCTATTCTCAATTGCTTCTTTTATGTTCAAAACTATGTTATGCTTCAATTGTCATCTGGAGAATAAATAAATTCTTTAGCAATTGAGATTCATAGTTGGTATATTTGGCATTTCCAAAAATTTCATTCTGCCCAAACATTTATTTTTGATTGAGTACACAATTGTTATCCTGGAGTTCTTTTCTATCAATAGTTATATGCATTGTTCTGTTTGTCTTCTCATTTCTTTTCTTTTTTTTTAAAGATTTATTTTATTTATTTATACAAGCACTGGGTACAGTCAGAAGCATGGGAGGGTGAGAGGATTCACCAGAGTCAGAGCGGAGAGCAGAGCAGGCAGACTGACGAAGTACACTGCTGAGGGGATGAGTGGGCCAGGCAGGAGAGGTCTGCGCGCCATGTGGGACCCTCACCAGGTGGCTGGGGATCAAACCAGCACTGCAGAGGCTGCGGGCAGCTTTGAGCCACCCGGGAGGCCCTGTCTTCTCATTTCTGATGTTAGATAAGTTTTTGTGTATCGATCTCTCTTCCTTCTTTCCTCCATCATACAAGTAACCTACTTGTTCTAGAAAACTAGGAGTTCAAGAATTTCACCAGCATCCCACTAAATAAGTCATCCCCCACTCAAAATTAAGTTTGCCCGGGACTTTCTGACCCTCACATTTTAAATTTAAAAAGTTAATTTGAAATTTTTTATCTCCATTGTATATGTGTACACACACACACACACACACACACACACACACACACACACACATACACCACACACAATTTTCTCAACCAAAATGCTAAGCATTCCATAGTGAGGGGCCCATATCTTATGTTTCATTGTAACTCCTACTTCATATAATATATATGAACTTTGATTCAAAATTTTAATTGAATCTAAATTTACTTATATTAATTAGGAAATCTTAAAGTGACTGATTAAAAAAATGGATATAGGGGCCTTCCTTGTGGTAGAAGGAGTTAAGTCACAGCACTATAAAGCTATACAGGGCCGCCCGGTGGCGCAGCAGTTGAGTGCTGGGCTGCGAAGCTGCCCGCAACCTCTGCAGCTCTGGTTCGATCCCCGGCCACCGGCCACCGGCAAGGGTCCCACATGGGTGCGCAGACCTCTCCTGCCGCCCACTGCTCCCCTCAGCAGTGTACTTCAGTCCTTCTGCCTGTTCTGTTCCCTGCTCTGGCTCTAGTGAATTCTCTCACCCTCCCACACTTCTGACTGTACCCAGTACTTGTATAAATAAATAAATACATCTTAAAAAATAAATAAAAATAAAAAAATTAAATTAAATTAAAAAAAACAAAATAAAATAAAGCTATACAGCCACTGTAGCACAAGTTCCATCCCCAGGCCAGGGAGGTGACCCACATGGAGCAGCAGACCTCTCCTGTCTCACCCACTGCTCCCCTTGGCAGTGTATTTCTGTCAATCCACCTGTTCTGCTCCCCACTCTGTCTCTGGTGAATCCTCTCATCCCCCACACCTCTGGCCTGTACCCCAGTTCCTGTATGTATAAATAAATCTTTTTTTTAAGATTAATATTTATTTATGCAGATAGCAGGCTGCACCATGCGGGCAGCTTCCTGGCTGGGGATTGAACCCATGCTGCAATGGCTGCGGACAGCCTCATCGGCTGTATCTTAACCTCTTGTGCCACCAGGGAGGCCCTAAATAAATAAATCTAAAAAAAAAAGAGAGAGAGTTGATTCAGCTTCTAAAGGATATTTTATCAATTTTCTTTTTTAAGACTCATAAATGGAAATTTTTCCTAGTGTCTAGCCTGTTACTCAACATTTCATCCCACTTATTCTAAAAAGAATACAAAACTATAATAACTATACAGAATCCAAAAATAAAGGAAAGTCTTGTTAACTATTATCAAACAAAGCTCTAGGTATATTACTGATTTATCATGAATTAATCATAAAAAGATCATCTGTAATCTCATTCAACATATTTGTCTATGTATTACATATTTTAAGCAGCAACCCAGCAACTGACTTTCTATTTTATTACAATTTTTTTAAAAATATCATAATAACTGATGAAAAATTAGAAATTATTTTTAAATGCAACCTTTCCCACCACAATTTTTCTTATGCTCTTTTAGTCTCCAACATGCTTCCTTTCTCTTTTAAGACTAGATAAAATCAGCAAGGTCTTTTTTCCAATCTATTTTAAAATTTCCTAGCAGATCCCCTTCAAAAAGAACACCCCTAAAGAACAAAAAAAAAAAAAACAAAGCCAATTATAAATCGTAAGACCAATGAGGATGAGGATGGAGTTTTGACTCATTTCTGTATATGCACAGATACGCACATATAAATGTTAAACTTTAAATAAATTATAAGAAATTGAGAGAACTCTTGATCCTTCCCTTAATTTCTAGGAAGACCTCACAAACTTTTCCTTAAACACGGAATTAAAGGTAATTCCTCTCCTACTCAATATTACAGTTCTCTGGTTTATTTAATTACTAAATTACAATGATGTTTCCTTCTTTCAAAAATAATGTGTAATACATTAAATAATTGTAGGTTATCCTCAGAACACAAGTTCAGTTGAAACACTAGAACAATGTAACATTATTTTTTCCTGTGGGAGAACAATACTATAATGAACTTTCAAAAAATGTAATTTTTAAATCAAATCAGGGAATGCCTGTAAATAAATATTAGGGAGGATGTAAAAAAATTGAAGGAAATTTAGAGACTGAAAATAAGTTTATTCATATATCATGCTGGGCTTCAACATTTTATTCCTTTTCCCAAATTCATGAAGTATAAGGGTAACCCCTAAAGTGATGGTATTAGTAGGTGGAATGTCTGGAAGGTTCTTAGTTATACTAAGGGTAGACCCCACATGAATGTGATTAGTGCCTTATAAAAGAGGATCTAGAGAGATTTCCTTACAAGGAATCTTCCAAGTAAGAACATGAGATGAGAAGTCTACACCCCAGAACAAAGCCCTTATCTGATCAAGCTTGGCATCTAATCTCAGACTCCCAACCTCTAGAACGGTAATAAATTTTTGTTGTTTATAAGTTACCCAGTCTCTGGTATTTTGTTGAACCGAGCCCAAAGTCTAAAACACATAACAATCAAATATGTACTTGCTAGAAATCTATTATTTTCATTTTCATGCTTACTCATCTTCCCTCATCAACAGGCCTTCTCAAATGAAATTATTACAAAATTAGAAGTTAAGAATTCTATAATAGCTCCTATATGATCCATTACTACATTCTTGGCAATATGAGACCTAGGAGTTTCTCAAATTGTTTTGGTGTATTTCCAGAAACGATACATACACACATACACACTCTAATTCCATGCTGCTGTCTAAAACAGGAAACAACAAATGATAAACAAAAGAGATATTAAATAGCTGTAGCCAGCTTCCAGAGCAGCCACAATGATTCTCATCTCCTGCTATTTCTACTTCTGCGTGGTCCTCCAGATAAAGCAGGCTGTCCTTTTGGGACAGCACTCCAGCAGCCTTCTGCCACCACCAGTACTGCCTGCCAGGCATGTACATGAGTCACCTCAGCAGCGCCAGGCCAGTGAAGTCTTGAGATGACCACAGCCTAGGCAATCCAGAAGCTGACCTACCCAAGTCAGCTACTCAGGACATCTTCCCTACAGAAACAGTGAAAGTTAACTGGTTTAAGTTGATTAAGTATTGAGGTAATTTGTTAGGCTACAATATATAATATAGTTGCACAATGGACAATGGGAATGGAAACGATCATTTCAGTTTGTTGAAAATAGGTAAGTATAAAAACACAAGACAGCTGCAAAGATAAAGCCCGATGGCTTAAGAAGCATATTGTCTCTCTCCAAGGTGAAGCAGCATCTGTGTGAGGGAGCCAACAGCAATCTCACAGGAAGTGTAAAACACTGGGATAGAAAACACTTAAGAAATTTGCAGTGCTTTTCAAAGTCATGATACAAGGTTCTTTTTTTTTTTTTCTGAATAATAGCTTAGCCAACCACCCCCATTTTTTAATCATCATCTGCCTGCCCTGTGAGAACAGCTGATCTTGAATCGCTGATTTAGGTTTCAAAAACTGTGAAGAGCTCTATTAGTAATGAATGAATCAGTGGAAACAGGATCTCAACTCAATTATTTATACTTTCAATCCTGACAATTCACCTCTCAAATAATAAAATCCAATTATTTAGATCTGAGCTTATTTCTACCTATATATAACATTGGAAGCTGAAACTGTGTACTTAGTCTTTGGTACAGTTTAAGAAACCAATACATTATATTAGTCATCATGACTGAGAGTTCTGAATAACAAAAGGTATTTAAATTCCAGCAACAAATGTAGCAGCCTGATGGAACCAGTAAACTATTTTCAAAGATTCCTCATGAATAAATGTCACTATGTTTGCAGTATTGTTTTCACCTCAGTCAAATGACAGTCTTTCTTATGCCAACAATCTAATTGATCTTTCCTTAAAAAAATTCACTCTTTCCAGACTAACATGGAATATTCATGAAT